GTCTTTCCACTGAAGGAGCTCAGAATATTTCATAAACATGAATTTATTAGTCTACCGGCAGAAGGCCGTACCCTTTGACCCCGGGAGCCGAGTGGAGAGACAGGTGTTTTCACGTCCACACTGCCACACTGAAGATGAAATCATTTGCTGAACATGCAGAAGGGACCTTTTTCTATTGTAATAAAATATATGTAACATAAAATTTACCATTCTAACCGTTTCTAAGTGTTCAGTGGCATTAAGTACGTTCATGTTGTGGTGCAACCATCACCACCCTCCAGCTTCTCAACTTTTTTTGCCCAAACAGGAACTCTGTCCCCATTAAACAGGAACTCCCCATTCCTCCCTCCCTCCAGCCCTTGGCAACCACCACCCTACTTTCTGCCTCTATGAATTTGACTGTGTACCTTGTACAGGTGAAATGATACAGCATTTGTCCTTTGGTGTCATACTTATTTCATTTAGCATCATGTCCTCAAGGGTTACCCATGTTGTAGCATGTGCCAGAATTGCCTTCCCTCCTAAGGCACAATAGTATTCCACTGTGTGGCTAGACCACGTTTTGCTTATCCATTCATCTGTTGATGGACATTTGGGTTGCTTCCAGCTTTTGGCTATCGGTGAGTAGTTCTACTATGAACATGGATGTGCAAATACCTCTTTGGAACCCTGCTTTCAGTTCTTTTGACCATGTATCAGAAGTGAAGGTGCTGGGTCATATGGAAATTCTATGTTTAGCTTTTTGAGGAACTGTCATACCGCTCGATAGGTTTTTGCACAAAGCCAGGACAATGTGCCAAGACCCCACCCTGAATCCTGCACCCAAGGAGCCTCATTCTCCCTGAGCACAGTGTAGGCACAAGCAGAGGTCCTGAGAGGTATGGGGCTCCCTTCTCTAGAAGCAGCGAGGGTGGTGTTACAGCCACATCACTCAACACCTCTCCAGGAGTCCAGTGGCCAGGCGACAGACCTCAATATTTTGTGGTCTCTGAGTCCATCTATCATTATGATAGCTTAGGTCACGTTGACATCTGATCTGTTTTCAAACAGAAGTCCCTCCCAGCTCTCCCAACCTATGACTTTTCTTTCTTCACCTCTTCCTGTGGTCTGAATTCCCTCACTCAGTTAATTAGCATGCCTGGCACTGTAGCTTAAGACTTTAATCAGCGTGGGGTGGTTTTAATTAATCGTGTGGCTCTGCATCTGGAGTGGTTTGTGTTCCAGGGTCAGGAGAGGAGCTGAAGATGGGGGATGGGACGGGTGGCTTTGTCTGGCGTAAGGTGAGAGTCTGGCCATTCGAGGAGAGAGAGTCTCAGGGGCAGTCGGCCACCTGTGCAATGCTCTAGCGAGGTTGCAAGGTAACCAGGGACATTAGAGCATACATTTGTACTCAGATGAATGGTTGGATTAAGTCCAGTCTTTGAAGGTGATTGAAAGTGTCAGGGAACCTTCTGATACTTTCCAGAATTACCCGTGGGGTGGGGAGAGAGGCGAAGTGACGGTATAGACTGGGAGATGTGGGGCCAGTCTGGGAGGCCGTGGCCGTGCTGGAGAGTGTTGCCTGGTAGTGGGACTCAGGAGACCTCCCCAATCCTGTCTTCCTGGAGAAGGCCCTGGAAGGGTCAGGAAGGTGGTAATGTTTCTACCTGGACTGTCAGAGTCCCGCTGACTCCCCAGTTTGTGCATCCACGCTTTACAAAGAGCAGAGAAACCCTAGATCAAGTTCAGAGGAAAGCAATAAAAGTCATTAAAGACATAGAAGGATTCTGTAAGGAAAGGGTAAAGGCAGGTGGGTTGTTTGCCTTCAAGAAGAGGAAGCTCTAGATGCCTGGATGATTGTCCTCAAGAGTATGTTTCCTTTAAGGTGTCTGATGCCATTTTTGAACCTGTCCATAAAAACCAAACAACTGAGATGGGGTAGGCATGGGGAAATTTCATCTGGGTATTAACAAGGAGCGTAGAATGTTAGAACAGAAAGGGAATTTAAAACTACCCTGCCCAGTCCCTCCTTTTACAGTTGCTTAGAAAGAGGCCAAGACAGACTGGCCCAAGGTCACCCAGGGAGCTGGGGGCAAAGCCATGGCTGGAACCTGGGTCTCATAACAACTGCCCAGGACTTGTGCCCTGTGCCACATGGGCCCACCCAGATGAAGAGCAAAGAAAAATGCATAGCTTGTTCCAGGAGCTAGAAAAGGTACTAAGTCCAGGAAGCTGGGATAACTCCAGGTTTCATCCGAAGGGTGAAGCAATGGAAGGTTTAGAGGCATATGTCATAGTTCAGGGAGGAAATGACATGACCAAGCTACTAAAGTTCTCCCAGGTTTGTTGAACTCCCAGAGTAGGCCATGAGGCCTAGGAAGCCTGTCAGGGCAAGTTTTCTGGGACTTAGGAAAGAGGTAAGTGATGGTTCAAGGAGTATTGGGATATTAATGACAAAGATAGCAGCGATCATAACCATCACTTGTGAGGTGCCAGACTATTTACAAAACTATCAAGTCATCCGTGCTTTGAGAAACTGTGAATTGAGGGAGGGTGGATTTTTATCTCCATGCTAAGCCAGCATTTGAACCTAGCTCTGTGGATCCTATACTCTTTCCAACCAAACAGAAAGTGACTCATGTTTAAAATCTAGAAAGGAAGGACTTTACAATTCCAGGGTATTGACATTATTAAATAGCAGTTGTGAGGTATTTTTAGGGATTTGAATGCAGAGGTTTTTGGGAACCTCAGATTCACCAAGCAGCTGGCTCTGGAAGCCCCAGGCACATGCCACCCCAGGCAGATGATAGAACATGTCAATGGGAGAAACTAGAGAGAATGTTAATTAAGTTTAGACCGAGAAAATGCTTTTGATTGAACAAGCCATGATTTTCTCTTTAAGCACATGCAAAATATGGAGTGCTAGACAAGCAGCTGGAACATATGAAAACATTATTATGTACTTATGGTTCCCAACTTTCACCATTTATGGCCCCTTTTATTATTTTTTCCCTCTGTGCATTATGTTTTGAAAGATTCTGTCTACTAAACAAACTGCATTTATTAAATAATAATATATTTCCCATTTTTAATATGGAACATACATCATTGAATATGCATAAAAACATAAAACAGCAACAATCCAATTTCCATTAGGCTTTTGGAAATATTGAAAATAGCTTATGGACCTCATTACCACTCATGAATTTCTAGGAGTCTGGGTACTTTGGGTTAGGAACCATTCATTATTCGAATGCTTACATGGCTAGCATGTCTATACCCACTTAAGGAGTAGGTAGAGAAATTAAAGATGCAACAGGAATAGGGTTAATTCCTGGCTGTGTGTGGAGCCAGTGGGGTAATTCGTGAGAAACTGATTATCAAGGTTAATTAGGAAAATGGGAAGGTTGTATGTAGGCAGAGATCAGGCATGGCCCATGCGGATTACATGAGCAGTAAAAAAAAAGATAAAATTCCAAATGTGCAAAAAAGACATCTGAGAAAGTGGACAAAGGGTCACCAAAGCCAAGGGCAAAACTGTAAGAATGGGAGCGTGAGGCTAAAAGGTCACTTGAAAGAAGTAAAAACGCAGTATGGTCATTAATAACGCTCAATGTGTACATTGGAGAACAAAAAGATATATAAAGGGAATGAGAAAGTGAAGGGGAAAGAGATCATGTGGGATTTGGAATTCATTATTAATTAATTCCAAAGGAGAGTTTGGAGACTAATTGAGCAGGCTGTGGTGCCAGTTTGCCTGGGTGTGAGTTACAAGTAGCCCCTGCCAAGGGGACATCATTTGACGGAGGCAGATGCCCATAAAACAGCAGGGAAAACACAGCCTCTGCATTTGCTCAGGAAGCAGGGAGGGCTTGGCCAGGTCAGTGTGGTTGATAGTTTTCTGTGCCTGTCAAAGCGTGATGGCAAGAAATTAAAAAGGATGATCATGTCAAATTCTCTTAGCTTAAGCTGAAAGATTCGGTAGGAAGTTCTCCATTAAGATAAAAAAGTATACCAAATGGAAAAGGATGATATTAAAAAACAAAACAAAACAAAAAACCCAACTTTTATAAAGAAGAAACTGGCAAATTGGAGAATAAAGACCCAGGCTCTAAAAAGAAAATAAAAACTCCATTTGATCCAGTGTATCATTATTAAGTACCTAGAATGTAGCAGGTCCTGGGAAGTCATGTAAAGAGACATCAAGGCAAAGCTACCTCGAAGAACAAAGAAATTCGAAAGATGTTTAAGAGCACGCAGGAAATGGGAGCATTTGGGCTGAGCAAAACCGTCATGTGGAACATTTTACATTAACAAGCGGCTGGTGAGAGCTAATATAAAGTTTTGGGTTGGAGAGGAAGCCTCCAGTCATGAAAAGAGTGTGAGTAGGAGGAGAAATAGCAACAGCTGCTCTTTGAAAGCACCATAGTGAAAGCCTTTAGAGCCAGTTGGCCAACATTACGGGAAGAAAGCGGCGGCAAGAAACAGCTAAAGTGAGCTTATGACATCTCGGTAAAAGGCAAGGGGAAGGAGAAAGGGTAGGGGCTGGGTCTCGGGTTAACGCGCTCCAGCCCCCGAGGGAGAAGTGCTGGAAAGGAGGTGGAACAGTCTACGGCAAAAGAGAAACAGAAGGGAGTAAGAATGACTGTTTGTTTGTTGCATTGCTAGGAAACGACTATGTGACACACTGGCTATTTGTAGAGATATTTTGGGGTTTGGGAGGTGGGAAATTTTAAATGTATGCTATTTAAAATATTTTTTTTTCTAGCAATTTGGTATGAGCTCTATGGAGTCTGTATTCCTGGAGACTTCTAGGAAAATCATACGGATGCTTGTCCTTCCTGCATGCGTGTATGGTCACCTGCTCCAACGTGATCGCCCAAGGGCCCTTTCCCTCCAGGGCTTAGTGCTCCGGCAGTGTTTCCGGGGACACGTGTGATGTTGGGGACAGCACCTCTGCTGCCAGACTCCTAGGTGTTCTGCAAAATCTTGACCGCTTTCTCCCTGTCCTGCTGTCCTAGCTCACCAGAGTCCCTGTGGAGTCCTGTGGTCAGTATCGGAGCTGTGGCGAGTGCCTTGGCTCAGGCGACCCCCACTGTGGCTGGTGCGTGCTCCACAACACGTGAGTACCGCGGGCAGCGTCCTCCTGCCTCCCACCGTCTCCCGGTAACGCCCTTCTCTGCTCTCTTCCCTCCTTGTCTTTTCTTACTCTGCCTTCCTTGCATCCTCCACAACTGTTATCTCCCTTCCTTTGTTCTTTCCGACTTCACTTTAAATTGCCAAATTTCCATAAGAGATAGATGGAAGTGGCAGCCTGGGAATGATGGCAGGTCCAGATACGGTTGTCACAGTGGGTAATTACGCACTGGAGAGCTGGAGGAAGAGAGAGGGGTTCCTGGACTGTCCTGACTGTGACCTGGCTGTAGACCGACTTTCCAGGACTGAACACCAGGAAACGGGCATTGGGCTTGTTGCTCAAGGTGCAGTGCACGTGGGCCAATCGTGGGCCAGACACGTGCTGTCCATTTAGTGATTCAGCATCCACTCAACATCCCCACAGACTTTTCTGGTTTGGGTATTGGGTCTGCAGTTCAAATGTGTGGCACCTGAGGACCCTCCTGCCACTGTCAACATCCACCGACTGGCTGTCAGTGCACCTGGGCTGGAGTCATGGGGCCGGTGAAGCCAGTGCCGGGCACTGACCCCACGTGCCTCCTTGTGCGCTGGCTCCATTTTATTCTCTCAAGTGGGGAGAAGGCAATGGCATTGTTCACAGTGGAGGCGAATGGTAGTTTGGCAAATGAACTGAGCATGGGGACCTAGGGCACAGACCTCCAGCCCAGAGTGTAGGGAGAGCTGAAGACCTTCCCTTGGGGATCAGAAGAGCTTTGGAGAAGCCTGGAGAAGCCAACAATAGCTGGACCCCACTCTAACAGAATTTGATCCCAGTCCAGCAATTGTTGCTTCTGATCAACACCAGAAACTTAACCCTCTTGTGAGCTGGACACAAACATTATAAATTAAGGAGAAAGACCTTAGTCTTCCTACTAAGAATCTGAACTTGTATGTGACCAATGACATTTACCAGTGATTTTCAACTGACATAAGAAAATGGGGTTAGGATCTTGTCTCTCCACCCACAGGAAGTGCCTCTGAAACTAGGAACAGCCTCGTAATTTCTAACCCATCCTTGCTAAGGGAACAGGCACCTTCCCCATCTCTGGGTGACAGTCCCAGGCATAATGAGTCCTTGAGTTTCAGAAGGAAAAGTCTGAGATCCCTCTGGTATGTTATGGTGGAAAAAAATCAAGAACCACTGAACTACCCCGAAATGTGTGTAACTCGGGGACAGACGAGAAGTGTGCGCTTACCTGCACACAAAGGTAGTGTTGTAACACAGCAGCAGGGCCTAGCAGTAGTCAGGAGAAAAAGAGGATGGAAGAGATTGCATTCAGAATGCAGATAGGCTCTGGTCAATCCAGAGTGTTCCCTAGGTGATACTTTGCAAGGCAGGGGGAGGGGGGGACGGTTTTCTTTGTCCCACACAATGAGGCCTCTCAGAAAGGGACTGTGTTCCAGACGCATGCCTTGCTTGGGGGCCTTGAGGCCACCTGGCTGTCTGCATGGCTGAGAGTGGCCCAGCTGCTCCTGGTATGGGGCTCTCCCACCTGGCGTCACTCAGAGGCCATCAGGAAAGCTGGCCCCTGACACTCCATGCCTGTGGGACCCATGTCAGCTTCCATCTCTGCCCGCAGTGCCGCCCCAGCCCGGCTGAACTAGCCCTGTGAGCGGTGGGGGCTCTCCCGCTCACTAAGGGCCACAGAGGGGCTGCCAGCACCCCACCCCCCACCCCAGGGCTAGGTAAGCAGGAATGAGAGGAGGAGTTGCCAGACACTACTTCCTGTGTGGCCTCAGTTTCCCCTTCTGTAACATAATACCTGCCTCCTGTCAAGTGGCAGAAGACAGGGCTAGAAGGAGGCCAAGGTGAAGTCTGGGTGGCTCATGAAGGAGGCTGTGACCCTGCACAGGGAGGCCAGCAGTGCCAGTCTCAGTGTGGCTTAGAGAGAACAGCCCTGGGCACGAGCTTTGTCCATCTGCCGCCAAGTCTAAATTCCATATCCCCCAGCATCCCAGTTCCACATCTGTGACTCAGACGTGGTGGCGCCCATCTGCCCACCTCCCTGAGTCACTGGAGAGTTGAATGAGTCCGTGGGGATGCCAGTTCCTGTGGACCGTGGCGCTGGGACGTGTAAAGTGGGGGGAGGGGCAGGAATCTTGACCAGGTTGGGGAAAGACTGAGAGCTCGTGGGTGCCCTGCCTCTTATGACTTCGGGTGACTCCCAGTGATGCTCCAGGTGGCTCTGCTTTAATTTCGTGCTTCCCTTCTGGGGGCATCCTGGCCTCAAAGTGCCATCATCGTCTAACTGGTGGTGGTTCCTACTGTGCTCCCCTCACTGCCTTTAGCCTGGTGTCTGTCCTGTTCTTAGTTTGCCGGTCAGTGCCAGCACCCAGTAAGCACCAGTTCTCAGAAGGCAGGGCTGTGCAGGTGTGGTTTTCTGTGGCTGCTGCTGCGGCTGCTGCAGGTCCCTCCCTGTCTCCTCCATGTCTCCTCCATGCCCCCTCTGTGCCCAAGGAGTCACAGTGGAGCCGGTGTATGGAAGCAATGGGGGACGTTGGAAGGATTCCTGGGGTGGAATCTAGTTCTCATGCCTTGCAAACTTGTTGTGGGGCTTTAAGCAAGTGCAGTGGGTTCTCATTATGCAAGGTTCCTTACTTTCTGTAAAGTCACTGAAACACTGAATTAGTGAGTAGCAAACCACTGCTCCTAGGAGAAATACAAGATTAGGTTCCTGGGGGCCTCTGGTCACGACGTTCTCATGAACAAATCATTCCACAGCCTCGTTTTGTGTGTAATTCTGTTTCAGTGGCACGTTACTTAACATATATTGTTGATTCATTAACCTTGAACTCCGAACTCCTTGACGTCCGACAGCAGTCAGTGTAACTCGCACCTGTACAGAGCTCCCCTCACACACGCGTTTTCTCCGTAAGGCGCACCGCGGCCTCCCGCGCTCAGGAGCATGGGACAGCACTTCAGCATTACCCTGGGAGCTATTTTAAACAGTGAAATCATCAAAGCACCTGTGAAAAATGTGGCCCTAAATAGACCCCGAAAAGGATACTTGTGTATAGCATGAGCGCTAAGACAAGAAGGCAGCGTGACCCCTGTTCAGCCTTGGCTGGGAACGTGTGTCAGGTGACCCGAATCCTTCACCACTCTGTGCGTGTCCATGGATACCAATCTGGGGATCACAAATACACATTAGGGATTAGCTGACTCCACAAATATGGACTCCACAAATAACAAGGATCGACTATAACTCGGTATGTCAGAAACTTGGCATCCTCATTTTTAAAGAGGGGGAACAAGGACTTCGCTGGGTGGTGCGTGAGGGCACAACGAGGTCACAAAGGGTGTAATGAAAGCGCAAAGTGCTCTGCCAGGTCAAGGTGTTGTTGTCTGTAGCCTTGAGCCTCCTGGGTTTGTGAATCACCTGATGAAGGCGGACACCAGCACAGGGCTGTGCCCATGCAGCTGATGAAACCCAGATCCTCCAGGAGGACAAAGTCCAACGGCACTCATAGCCAAGGCCACCTGCTAACTGTGACCGCCCCCCACAATCCATGCTCCCTCCTTCCCTGGGTTAATGACCAAGGGAAGACCCCTGACCCACATTGGCAAGTGAAGGAGAGTAGGCCTTTGAATTACTAAGATGTTTTTTAATAAATATATAATTTTAGATTTACATAGAATAAGATGTGTAGATCCTAAGTGTACACTTTGCAAAGCTTTGACAAATGCAAACACTTAGGTAATCCACACCTATCGAGATATACAACAATTCCTTCATCCAGAGTTCTGTCCTGCTCCTTCCCAGGGCTTCCCAGTGGGCTCTTCTTCCCTCGTTCCTTAGGTGCAGACCACAGCACCTAAGGAACGGTGCTTCTCCTGATATGGCCTCCCTGTCATTTTGGGGGGATGGGAGAGACACATGAAGAGAGACACATGAGGAGAGGCTGGGAGAGACACATGGCTGGGAGAGACACATGAGGAAAGGGCCAAGCAGGAGAGAGGGGAGAGGGCTGGGGGCCAACAGGGTGGGTGCAGGAGTAAGGACAGGAAAAGAACCTGCAGATGCTTGCCCCTGGGTGTCTCTGTGTGCTAGGAAGGGAGCCAGGTAGCAGGTGTGGGAGGCTAACCTGCTTCCAGGAAGTGCTACGTCCACAAACTTGTCCTGAGATCTCCCAGCCCCTCCCAGACCAGGGACTGTGCTGAGCTCAAGGCTACCAAGGTGACTACATTAAGTCATCTCTGCCATAAAGCTTCCTGGGTACCAGGCCTCTGACCCAGGGCAGGGGGTTGCAGTCTGTACTAGAATCAATTCACTTTTTGGCTCCCACCCTGGGCAAGACCCTGTGGTAAGGGACTCTGTGGCTTGCTAAGTGATCCCAGCAAGCCTGACCCTCAGGAAGATGATGGCAGCAGGAAAAGTGTTCCTTAGGTGTCAAGATAAGTCTGTCTTCTCAATCACTTTTGCCAACTTTGCCCCTGGTTGTAGGGAGGAAGGTGGTGGTAGCATTGTGGGAGAGAAGGACACAGAAGGGGTGTGTGTGTGTGTGTGTGTGTGTGTGTGTGTGAGAGAGAGAGAGAGAGAGAGAGAGAGCATGAGTACAAGAGAGGAAGAGAGAAAAAGGGAAGGAGAGACGGATGAAGGATGAGTGAGCAGTTCAAGGTCAGGGCCTCTGTAAACAGGTGGCTCATGTGGCTGAATGGGCTGTTTGTACCAGCAAGGTCACAGGTGGGTTGCAGACAACATGCTTAAGAAATGTTCATGTAATTTAAATCCTCCCTCCTGCTACTCTCAATTGTCACGAAGCTCTTACCTGCCAAGCCAGGAGCACAGAGGGTTGCCCTGTTGCTGTCCTTTGCAGCCCCTGGGCCTGGCCCCCAGGCCGGCCAGTTTCTCATGGCAACGGCAGCTTCAACAATGCTGGTTATTGATTTGACCATGAGTTTTGAGCCTTGTGCTCAAAAATAGGGACTCACCTTTATACCTGGGC